CGTCTCATCCGCGCGCAGCGCTTAGGATCAACAGCAAAGCTGTGCCACGCAATCTTGTATCATGTCTCTCTGGATGCTTCTACTATGACGCGTGCAACTGGTGCTGTAGTGACACTGTTACTGTAAGCGGGGAGGCGGTCGAAAAAGGAAGGACGTTCGGAGGGGAGAGGAGGTCCGAAAGGGGGAGGAGTTCTAGGTGGGGAGGAGGTCCGTAACGGGGAGGAGTTCTAGGTGGGGAGGGGGTACGAAGAGGGAGGAGGTTCGTAAGAGGGAGGAGGTCTGTAGGTGGGGGAGCAGGAACGAAAAGGAAGGAGGTTTGCAGGGCAGAGGAGGTTCGAAAGGGGGAGGAGGTCCTTAAGGGGGAGGAGGTACAAAGAGGGAGGAGGTCCGTAAGGGGGAGGAGGTCTGTAGGTGGGGGAGGAGGAACGAAAAGGAAGGAGGTTCGCAGGGGAGAGGAGGTCCGTAAGAAGGAGGAGGTCCCTAAGGGGGAGGAGGTACAAAGAGGGAGGAGGTCCGTAAGGNATGAACAGTGGAACCCTGATTTAAACCGAATTCGGATATAAACGCGATGAAGGTCGGTGGACCCCTTTTAATTTTGCTCTTATATAGCCACGTATATATAACCCCGATTTTAGTGCGATCCCGCCCTTTATCGCGATGACATTTTATGCGACACCAACCATCGCCGTTATAACAGGGCCTACACTGCTATTTAGAATCAATCGATGGCAATAAGGTGAGATTCCAACCTCTTCAAATTCCACCATGAGGAAGTTTCGCCCCTCTCTCTCTCTCTCTTTCTCTTTCTCTCTCCTCCTCCTCTTCTCTCTTTTCCGCCGCGCGCTCCGCTCTCTCTCCCCTCCCTTCCATCCTGCCCTCCCTCCCTCCCTCCTCCCTCCCCTTCCTCCTCCCTCCTCCCTCCTTCCCTCCCTGTCACCCTCCCTCGCCTCCATCTTGCCCTCCCCTCCCTCCCTGTCACCCTAAAACACCCCTCCCTCCCTGTCACCTTCCCTCCCTGTCACCCTCCCTCCCTCCGAATCCTGCCTCCCTCCCTCATCAGCCTCTCTTCTTTCTCTCTCTCTCCTCTCCTCTCCATTCCTGTCTGTCACCCTCCCTCCCTCCCTCTCCCTCCCTCCCTCCCTCCCTGCCTCCTCCGCTCCCTCCTCCTCCCTCCCTCCCTCCCTCACCTTCCCTCCATCCCTGCCTCTCCTTCCTCCCCCCTGTCCACCCTCCTCTCTCTATCTCTCTCTCTCTTCTCTCACCCTCTCTCTCTCTCATCTCTCATCTCTTCTCTCTCTCTCTCTCTCTCTCTCTCGCTCTCTTCGCCACCACGGCTGTCTCGATGGCGACCTCGCCGCGCTGTTGTTGCGCTGCCGTCACAAGTACGCTGCCCACGAGCGGTAGCTCGTCGCAGAGAGTGCTAGCGAGAGGGAGCAGCCCTCACCGTGTCGATTGAGCGCGGACGTAGCTTGCTGGACTAATCAGAAGTTTTCAGTATTATCGTTAATAATTGGTGTACTGCGGAGGGCCGGAAAAAAATTTTCACGGAGGAGCATTTTTTTCAAAAGTCTGTAAGAAAAAAATAAGCTCTCGTCCGAAAATGTACGGAGAGCTATTTTGCAGCCTCACGGAAGACGATTTCGGAGTAATTGAAGAGCGAAATCGACTCATTCGCATCCCGCTGTATTTTTATACCCTGGTGTACTGTACGAGCGCTCACTTCTCTCTGGGATGCCTACTTACTATGTACGCGATTGCAAACTGTGCTGTAGTCGACCAGATGCTGTACTGTCAAGCGCGGTACGGCGCGTCCACAAGGAGGGAGAAGGTTCATAAGGGCGCGAGAAGCCGTTCCATAAGGGGGTGCAGGAAGCGTCCGTAACGGGGAGGAGTCTCTAGGTCGGGGAGGGGTACCGAAGAGGGAGGAGTTTCCGTAAGCGGAGAGGAGGTCCTTCAAGGGGGCACGGAGGTACAGAACGAGGGAGGAGTTCTCGTAAGGGAGAAGGATGTTCTGTACGGTGGGAAGGAGGAACGAAAAGGAAGGGAGCGTTGCAGCGGGAGAGGGGGGAGGCGGGAGGGGGAGGCGAAACGGGGCGGGGCTCCGTAAAGCGGGAAGCGTTCTAGGTGAAGCAGCGCAGGTGTACGAAGAGGGAGAGTTCCGTAAGGGTAGGAGGTCAGAAAGGAGAGGGGCGTCCGTAAGGGGAAGAGTCTCTATGTGGCTGGAGGAGGTAAGAAGAGGGAGCGAGGTTCGGTTAATGCGGGGAAGGAGTTCCTAGGTGGGAAAGGCAGTACGAAGCAGCGGGAGATCGTAAGAGCGAAGGAGGATCCGTTAGGGAAGGAGTTCTAGGGGAGGCGCGTCCATAGGGGGCATGACGCGTTATGACAAAGAAAGGGTTCCGTACTGGGGGAAGAGCGCCCGTAACGGGGGAGCGAGGCTCCGTAAAGGGGGAGCGATTACGCTTAGGTCGGCACCATCTACGCCGTCGCGGCGGTTGTGGCGTTGTGCTGACGCGCGCGTCGTCTGCTCATTACAGAACGGCTCCTGCGGAAGAAGAAGTCTTCCCTCCTCAGGGGAACGAGAAGCTCACGTCGTGCAGTACCCTGTCACAACAGATGCTACCATTAACGAGAAAAATTGGCTCAGAGAAACGAACTCCCAGTCGAAGGCTAGTGGCTGTATCTCTTCATACTTCTGCTGGTCCGACCGTTATAGGCTATAGGCTAGTGCGGTTATATCTTATACTCTGTGTCCACCAGTATCTGTTATAGGCTAGTGTGCTTATCTCTTATACTCTGTGTCGACCAGTATCTGTTATAGGCTAGTGCGGTTATATCTTATACTCTGTGTCCACCAGTATCTGTTATAGGCTAGTGTGCTTATCTCATATACTCTGTGTCCACCAGTATCTGTTATAGGCTTGTGGGCTTATCTCTTATACTCCTGTTCTGTATCCACCACTATTGTCCATCAGAGGCGGGTCTGGGTATCTGCGGTTGCTCTGTGTCTACCGGAGTTATGCTGCGTTTACATTATCTATCAATTTTTGTCAGCAAATCGCCGAGTTGGAGCAATAGAGCGTGTTCTATAACTCGGCCCGACTCCGACTCCAACACAATCGAATTTCAGCCGATTGTGTTGGAATGCACTTGGAATCGGTGCGATTTGCTGACAAAAATCGATAGTGTAAACGCAGCATTACGCGTGGCAAACGAAATCCCAAATGAAACGTGTGGGAGAATATTTTTATGAACATGGAGTGCGATTATAATAAGATGCCTCTATAATATATGGCTTTATTCTATCGTCGACCCCTCTCGCGTACGTTACGCGAATGCTCACTTGTTTTCTGCCGCAGGCTGCGATGGAGTCGGCCGTTGCCGCGGGCAATGACGAGGACGAGGATGAGGGGGAGGCGATGGAGTGCGGATGCTGCTACTGCGAGGTTACGTTTGAGCGCATGGTGCAGTGCAGCCTCGGCCACCTGTTCTGCGAGGAGTGCCTGCGGCGATACGCGAAGGAGGCTGTCTACGGACAGGGCAAGGTATTGACAAAGACGACCGTGGCGGCAACGTTTTGGCCAGCGAGCCGTGCAGCCGTGATTTGCACGGTCAGTTTTGAAAGTGCACGGCTACAAAAATTACAAGAATAAGAACCCAATTCGGCAGTAGATTTTATATCCCTTCCCTGACGGCACTCTTTTTTCAAACAGCCATTTTCCCCAAATGTGAACCCAAAAGATCCCGCTGAAATCTCGCCGAATCCTCGCGCGATTTCGTGAGACCCGTTGCCGCGAGCGCGTGCTAACGTTGCCATGACGCTGCCGACAGGTGGCGCTGTGGTGCATGGGCGACGGCTGCAGCGCGGGGTTCCCGCTCAGCCAGCTGCGCAAGGCGCTGCCGCAGATGCTGATGGAGAAGTACGAGGAGCGACAGGTGGAGGAATCGATCAGCCTCGCGGGCCTCGCTGACCTAGTCAGGTATCCCGTCGCCGTGACGACGACCCGCGCGTCGACCCGTCGCCGTGACGACCAACGAGTCACGCCACGCCGGCAATCTTTGTCGTCGGTTACAAGCGACTGCTCCCCCCCAATATAATAAATATATTACATATTTATCATTATAGCATTATATTAGCACTTTATACATGTTACATATTACTACTTTAGCATATATTATTACATGTACTACATATATATTTAGATATATTATACATGTTATACTATATATTTTGCATATATATAAATTAACATTATATTTAGCATATATTATACATGTATACATATATATTTAGCATATATTATACATGTATACATATATATTTAGCATATATTATACATGTATACATATATATTTAGCATATATTATACATGCTATACTATATTATTTAGCCATATAATTATACAGTCATACATTATATTTACGCTAATTATTATACATGTATATATACATTTGAATATTACTTATACAAGTACAATATTATTTCATATAAAAAGCATATATAATAAGCGTTAAACATATAACTATAATAAAGAACTATAAAGTGAAAAGTGCAAGCGGCGAATGCGCAGTGTTTATTTTGTTAGTAGAAGATGACTACCCGCCGACTGAAAAAGCTTAAGGAAAATTTGAAAATTTTTAAAGTTTAAAGTTAGAAATTTAATGTTAAAAGTTAAGTCTTTATAACAGTTAAAAAGGCTCCCGCACGTGCGGTGTGTTTTTTGTGGTCGTTAACGCTCCACTATTGTTTTATCGCTCACATATTTTTGTGTGTCCCTCGGTGTTCCTGCGCTTGCCGGGTAGTCAAGCTACGTTTCATTTCAAGAGTGTTGGTTAGGACCAGAGTGTTCAGTAGACCAGAGTTAGTTAGCGACGATTTTAAAACTATTGATAGTTACAGAGGATGCAATTCCATACGATAATAGCATGACCTATCATCCTTACTGCTGCGATGTAAGTATGTCCTAACAACTAATCCGTGAGTTCATTATTAACGATGCAATCGTTTCTTATATCCGGTTTGTTTCTTATCTCCAGTGCTCCAAACTTGTGACTTCACTGCAATCTTCTGCCGAGGCGATAGCAAAGTTTTCATGCGTGCCAAGAAGCGTCGACTGCATGATGCGTAAACTATCTGATCTTTTAGCATCGATCTGGTTTGGTTAGTAGTTTAGCAAAGGCCTTTGGACCATTTCATGTTTTATTACTACGCATCAGGTTATCCACACGCACGTGTAGGCGTCCCTGTCATAGAGAGAGTTGCGCTATGCGAGTCGGAAAAATCGGATCACGGTGATCGCATGGACGGCTGCTCTGTCTCTCCAATGACCAACACCGCTGCGCGCTTTAGTAGCAGCGCTGATATGGATACGCTGTACAATTGGTCCGTAGTAATAATTAGACTAATCGTGCTTCAATAAACTCAAAATTTACAGAGATTATAGCTAAGACATGTGTCTATTGTGATCTAGATTTCTAGAACTGCAAAACACAGTGTTACAGCTGCGAGCGGAGTGGAAAGTGGAACACATTTATCTTGTGAATTACAGTTGGTCATTATTCTTCCAAATGACTGGCTGCTGTGTTTACACTAGAAAGTGTTAAATTAAGCTATCAATATGAGCAGCGAACGATTTGAGTTACATTTCTAGAAATCTAGATACATGTAAACACATGTGTTATCTATGATCTCTGTGATTCTTGAGTTTATTGTAGCGCGAGTGGTTTAATTAATTAGCAAGTATCTACGCACGGTATCGCACAGGTTAATATACGCACGGCTATGGCCGGCAAGAAAATGTGTACAATTAAACTATCATATGGCGCGAACGATTTGAGTTACATTTCTAGAAATCTAGATACACATAGACACATGTCTTAGCTACAATCTCTGTAAATTTGGAGTTTATGGAAGCACGATTAGTCTAATTAATTACTACGGACCATTGTACAGCGTATCCATACAGCGCTGTACTTAAGCGGCAGCGGTGTGGATCCATTTGGAAACATGGCGTCAAATCCTGAGTTGGCGCAACTCTCTGTATATAGGGACCCTACTGTAGCCAGGTATTCTTCTGATAAACTCACTGACAACCAAATGAAGTGCGTCCTCCTGCCACCGTGTTCGCGCTCAGAGCATATATCTAGGATACTACTAATACCACTAATACGGACCCTAGCAACGTGTAGAGTAGGGATAACTAACCGGAACCGTAAGTCATATTCCCCTGCACTCTAGGTATTTTAATTTTTCCAAGTTTCCCTTGTCGTAATTAGTTAATAAGCGCTTAATTACGCATTAGCCAATCAACAGCATCGGTACACGTGACGTAATCACAGCAGCAGAATGAGCATCAAGACTTAACGAACAAACGAATAATTAATTAGTCGTGCGCAAGTTGATCGCGTTCAGACGAGTTTTTTTCGCGTGGGTCAGCGTAAGACGAACGGCTGTTTTGTCGCCAAAGGCGGCACGCGCGTTGTCATGGCGATATCACCGTCCCGCCGCGTGCGGCATGAGACGAGAGGCGGCACCCGCGTTGTCACGGCGATATCGCCGTCCCGCCGCGTGCGACGCGAGTGCACGTGCGTCGTCACGGCGACGACCGCTCCCCCGGCGATATCGCCGTCCCGTCTCGTGCGACGCGAGTGCGCGAGACGAGAGGCGGCACGCGCGTCGTCACGGCGATATCACCGTCCCGTCTCGTGCGACGCGAGTGCGCGAGACGAGAGGCTGCACGCGCGTCGTCACGGCGACGACCGCTCCCCCGGCGATGTCGCCGTCACCCTATCTCTCGTGTGTTCTCTCGCGCAGGAGTCGTGCCGACACTGCGGGGAGGACTGGGATGAGCATTTCGGCAAGCGCTGCGAGGAACTGGAGAGATGCGACGAGACCAGGCTGAGGACGCATTAGTAAGTACCACCACTGCTGCCGCCGCCCCCTGGGGGGAGGAAACGATGTTAAAAAGACCCGGCTGAGGACACATTAGTAAGTACCTCCGCCCCTCTCCCCGGGGGGGGGGAAACGATGTTAAAAAGACCCGGCTGAGGACACATTAGTAAGTACCGCTGCCGCCCCTCCCCCCGGGGGGAGGAAACGATGATAAAATGACCCTGGTGATGTTTTCGTATCAAAGTCACGATGACAGTTTATTTGTTTTGTTCGTACACGCGCGTGTGAGGTGATGTTTTAGTGTCCAAACAACAATGACTGTTTTTCCGTTTGTTTCATGCGCGGCAGCTTCATACTAGGAAAGTGAGTGTTAGGTTTTGTTCGTACACGCTCGCGTGCGTTGATGTTTTCGTGTCGGATCTACGATGACAAGTTTGTTCGTTTGTTGACAGTGAGGAGAGGATGACAAAGCTGAAGGTGCGAACCTGCGGTAAATGCTCGGCACAGTTCTTCAAGGTCGAGGGCTGCAACAAGATGACCTGCCGCTGCGGCGCGACCATGTGCTACATATGTCGCGCTCCCAAGGTGAGCTGTTAACGCTCTTGCTTGGGGAAGAGGGAGGGTGAGGGGGATCTAGTGTGAGGGGAGGTGAGGTGAGCGCGGGGGGCGGGGCGACCATGTGCTACTATATGTCGCGCTCCCAAGGTGAGCTGTTAACTCAGTCGTTTTGATTTTGATCTCTTTCTCTCTCTCTCTCTCACTCTCTCACCCTCTCTCGCGCTCTCTCTCTCTCTCTCTCTCTCTCTCTCTCTCTCTCTCTCTCTCTCTCTCTCTC